CAACTCTGTAGTATTAGAGAAACAGTGAAGAATAGTCTCACCTGCAATCACTCCAACCTTACCTTTTCCTAGGTTGCGAAATATTTGCCAAAAGTCAAACTTGCTCCAGTACAAATGGAGCTAAGAACATAAGCTTAACCAGGAATAGCATCTTGGTTACCAAATAGCCTCTGCAGGTGTTAGTACAGATTCAACAAAACCTTTGTATACGTACTTCACTACAAATGTATTCACAGATTAATGAAGCTGAGAAGGCAGCCCTGGTCATCTAATCAGACATATTGCCTAAATTTTCCCTGTGAGTCTTGTAACAAATTCACAGGTTTTTCATGTCCGTTCAGCAAAACACAAAAGAACATGCTCTCTTCAGAAGTGTATGTACATAAATGCTTAACTTCAGGGATGCATTTATCAGCAAAGCACCTATAGTTAGATGTATTTTGAAATTCAGTAAGTAATTCTAGGCAGTTGTCAGAAGTGTTTGGTTTTTGTGAGTCTGCTTCTGGAGAGAGACAGAGTGCCCCAGGGAACAGTTTTTAGAGTACCTGTTTCTCTCCATTGACCCTGGAAGGGAGCAGAGGTCATAACCTAGGCATCATAATTAGATGCCTAATGGGGATCTGTGTCATTGCCCTCTTTCTCTTGAATATTTTTGTTCATATCTGTAAAATGCAAAGTCTTATGGGTTTAATCCTAGGAGTGCATATGATACTTAGTGTAGCAAGCAAACTAAACAAGCTCTGCCTGTGGTTCCCTCCTGCCCTCCAGCTCCACAACTCTCCTATCCCTATGCTCCCCACATAATTTCTACCATTTCTCCTCCAGTGTTAATGGCCAAAGAAAATAATGAGTTGAAAACTCTTTCTTCTCTGCTTTATATTTCCAATCAATTTCTCTCTAAAGCTTTTTTTTGTTTTGTTGTCTTTTCTAAAGAAATGTCTCTTGGGTTTGTCTCTGTTGTGGAGCTGCACAATAGTCCAGAATGATGGCTTGGCTTTGCGAGCGAAGATTTGGGAAGGGCTTTAACCACGCTTACTACAAGCGTGATGACCAAGGGCACGTGGGATATGAAAATCTGGTTGGAAAAAAAGCTGCTTAGGCAATCTGGAAGCGTCTGACCAAGACTGTCGACTCCTGAGCTAACTCGAGCTACTGATGTGCCTGTCCGCCCACATGCAACGCTGGATCTGCAGCTTCCCATGCACCTTGTCACCTGCCGCTTCGACCCTCGCCCGTCCATACAGACACGTGAGAGTGAGCCCTTCCAGCCTGCACAGTGGATTTGTTAGGTGAGGCGCAGCTTGCGCAGAACTGGCCCCACCCTTCCTTCTCCTATGAGGAAGGCCTGTCTTTGCTAACCAAGATTTGGGAAGATCCTCACCCACACATTCTGAACAAGACTGTCATCTCCTGGGTCAATCACAAGCGACCCGTGATGCAATAGCACAACAAGCGTCTAGGCGGGTTCTTAGAGCTGTTCAGTCATAAGCCCACAGATGGTAGCCTCGCGCCAGTGGCTCCTCAGCCAAGTGCACGCACCAGGGGTCTGAACCTGCTGTTCCTCTTGTACTGAGCAGGATTACTATTGCCACAACTCATCATCAGTAGGGTAAAACTAACCTGTCTCACGATGGTCTAAACCCACTCACGTTCCCTATTAGTGGGTGAACAATCCAACGCTTGGTGGGTTAAAACTTAAACAGGGGAAGTTTAGGTTGGATATAAGGAGGAAATTCTTTCCTGTTAGGGTGGTGAGGCACTGGAACAGGTTGCCCAGGGAGGTTGTGAATGCTCCATCCCTGGCAGTGTTCAAGACCAGGTTAGACGAGGCCTTGGGTGATATGATTTAGCATAAAGTGTCCCTGCCCACGGCAGGGGGGTTGGAACTAGATGATCTTACGGTCCTTTCCAACCCTAACGATTCTATGATTCTATGATTCTATGATAGGAAGAGCCAACGTCGAAGGATCAAAAAGTGACATCACTATAAATGCCTGGCTGCCACAAGCCAGTTGTCCCTGTGGTAACTTTTCTGACACCTCCTGCTTAAAATCCAAAAAGCCAGAAGGATCATTAGGCCCCTAACACAGGTGTTCAAAGGTGAGCTCAGGGAGGACGGAAACCTCCCGTGGAGCAGAAGGGCAAAAGCTCGCTTGATCTTGATTTTCAGTCCAGAATAGTATTTGTGAAATGCCATAAGCATCATTTGACAAAGGTAGTTTTTTGGTGTTTCTGCCAGAGTAGAGTTTCTGGGACAGGGCTGAGAAACTGGAGGGAATTCAAAGGAGAGCTCTACGTAAGATCAACACTTGCTTAGGAGTGTTGGAGTACAAAACTTCCAAAGGAGAGCTAGAAGGATGGAGATGTGTTCAGCCTGAAAGCAAAAACATGGGTGAAGGTGTGTAGGTGAGGAAAAGGCATAGCTGCTACCTATTCATAAGTTAAAAAGATTTTACAAAGAATGCAGTGTGCTAGTTCACATTACTCAGTGAAGGCAGGGCAAGGAACAGAAAGTCTCAATTACAGAAGAGGAAGTGTAGCTTAAACTTTAGGAAAAGCTTGGCAGCTTTGCAGTTATTGGTAGTACAAGCCATTGAATCTTCCTGGATCTGATGTGCAGGGTGAGACACAGTGCCCTGTGTGGCAGAGCTGAAGAAAGGATATTACAGTCCATCCTACACAGATGGGGAATGGACTAGCAAGTCCTACAAAGTGGTGTGTTAGCTGACATGAGGATGATGTATTGCTCACCGAGAGACTGGTTTGTCAGGAGATCAGCAGGGAAACAGAGGAAGCCAAACAGGAACTAAGGGTACAGATTGTGACTCATCTTTGTGGTCCCACTTGATTAGAGAGTGACTCCCTTTAGAGCTGTGGATGGTTCCAAATAGTACTGAGCTGGGCATGGAAGAGAGAAAAGAGAGACAGCTGTGAGGAGTAAGACTGCCAAGAGAGAAGGTTTGGGATTGTCAAAGGCCCCACAGGCTGCATCCATGCCATCACTTTAATTTGAGGTTTGAGTCTGCACTCAGACAATCCAGGCTGGCTGCCTGCTGGCCCAGTCTTTCACTCCAGTCCGGGATAAGCCTGCTGGATTCTTGGGCAGCAGTGTCTGGGAACAGTGAGGGATGTACTGGCTTACAGCAAGAAGCTCTCCATGAAACACTCACTGTAGATGCAACTAGCTCAGCCCTGGATGCAGAAAACTGCAGAACACAGCAAGGCACAGCTAGCTAAGATACATGGAGACAGCTTAAGCACGAGTTCACCTTTGCAAAGGAGTATGTGTTCCCTAGTCACTTTGGTGTATTCTTGCCTCCCCCAGTAGACAGAAGAATGGAAGAAGGATATCTTTGCAGAGAAGACAGGTAAATGTAAGGATGTTGGACTGAAAAGGTGAGCTAGAGGAGAAATAACTAAAATAACTCCAAAAGCTAGAAAATAGAGTGAAACAGGGTTAAACACATTAAAGAGGGGTTATAATAGTTTGGAAAAAAGATATGGTTGGCAATAGGAAAAAATGTAGGCAAGAAAGAGGACAAAGTGGAAACATTTTTTAAGAGGTGAAGGAAATGAGATTTAGGTAATACACTGGATGTAGTCATGCTAAGCATATGGAGCATGGTGATGAATATGGCCCCATGGTTAGACAGCAGAAGAAAATGTTCTGTATAGACTTAACAATGTCCTCGTAAGAGGTGAACTTGAGCATTGCTGTCAGAGATTTTTAGGAGAATAATGATTTTGTTTTGAACAATAGAAAGGTCTAATTTAAAATTGCTATGCAATAGGTAGAAATTGCATCAGTGTATGAAAACTGAAGAAGTCATCTAGGATTATTACAGTGTCTTCTTTCTGCCTGTTTTCTAGCCTTTCTTTTCAGTTCCTATTCCAAAATTAAGTGTCGGGTCAATCTTTTTTTCCTTAGCAATTGCATCAGCCATAGGAATGTATCACGTGGTAATGAAAGACTATGAATAATGCAGAACAGAATTTTGAATCATTTAAAAAGCAGAAGCTTTACATTTCATTGCTAACCTGTTCCCATATAACATGAAATCTACAAAAATCACATTGCAATTTCTGGGGAAAAAAACCCCAAACAACACAAACAACCACATTTCAAGTAGTTGAGACTATTCTTGCATTCATTTCATTCTGTTCAAAGATATTTCAAACTTGGAGTTTTCAAAACTGTGTTTCATATTTCATTAAAATATCAGAAGATGATTAAATGCTGGCTATGTACTACCTAAACATGAAACACTCTACATATTCCTGAAATTACTGTGGCCATGAAATGCGATCACCTTTGCCTCTAAGGTTGGTGGAACATATAATGTTTGGTTAACCACAATTGACTGTATTAGGAAATTAACATGATCCTCTATCATTATCATGCATATATATGCCACCATCATTGCTCATTAGTGTGGATTTTTGGCTCTGTAACATCAGCATGACTAGAAAACAGCTTTTGACGGTGCCTAAGCCAAAAAGCTTAGCAACAAAAACACAAAGAGAAAAGCCAGTGCAATATATATATATTTTTTTTTTTCTGTCCCTAGTGATAAGAGCAGGAGAGAGGAGTTTTGAAATTTATTCCCAGTTTAGTCACTGGTCAATGAGTGGTCTTTCAAGGGGGACTTTATCCTTTCCTCACTGAAGGTTCATGCCTTATTTTCCTCATCAGTGAACTGACAGAAACAAGACCAAACCGTTTTGCAGCTGAGGTTGTGAGTGACCGAACAATGCAGTATTTCTAAAGCACAGTGAGAACCTCAAGCAAGAAATTTCTAAAGAGAAGGCAGATGTGATGCTGATCATCTCACACACAGGCATCATGATTAATGAGTCTCAGGCAGCTGTTCAGGGCAGTGAAGCCTCTGCATATGATGGCATTACTATGCATTTGCATTGCTCTGACTGCAGTATTAGCACCCACATTCCACAGGGGGTATCAGGGCTGTGCCCTCCAGGGGTGGTTGGGGGTATCCTACCATTCAGTTCCCGCCCTGTTGATCTCTTCCCACCAGCACTCTGTCGGCTCACCGAGGCTCTGGGCCGCTGGCATGCAGGCATAGTTCCACAGTCTGTCGGAGCCTTCCTTCTTGTTGAAAACACTCCTGATGGCCACAATCACCTGCCCATGTGGGCACTGGAAATTGAAACCCTGCCGGTACACATTGACCCATTCATCATTATCTCCATAGTTATAGGGGCCATAGTAATAGTCACCATATTGGCCCCATGCCACAGTCACCAGAGGCAGGAACACACAGAGAAGGACGAGGTCCATCCTGAGGATGTTCCTGGCTTAGAAATGCCCTGCTGGTTTGTTGGGCTGTCCCTTTTATATTGCCTCTAACATTTGGCTTCCAGATGTTATGTTTCCAGATCCAAGTGCAATGTGTCATTGCTTAGCAAACCTTCTCTGACACAGACACATCCAATTACTTCTTAAGGTGGAATTTTTGCAAATGCAGTAAGTCTGCAGGCTGCAGGCCTGCACTCTTCCCACTATCCCAAGCCATCTGTAATCCCTGCAGAGCTACTGTGTAGACCAAGATACGCATTGTAGTACAACTATCACAGACATCCCACTTTGAACCTCAAGAGAGCAGTTAAGTTTCAAAACAACTTTATTTAAAATTAAAGCTCTGTCTGAATTTGCCACTTTCCATCATTAGTAACATGCAACAAAATGTGTGTGTCCCCACCCTCTTCCCTAAATATAGTGACATGATTCTGTCAGTTCCTAGAAAGCAGGGAGTTGGGTAAGATGTGGGATTCATTGCTCGTGGTGTAAAAAATCCTTTAGACGTTTTGGTTTGGTTTGGTTGGAGGCTGGGTGGAGCTTGAATGACTGAGCATCTAGTTCAGCATGGAAACAGCTCACCCTGAGAAGTGGGGATCAGCTTATTCCATGCAGAATTGATTTTGCTACAACTGTGTGGGCACTGTAAAACTATGGACTGGGCAGATGTTTTAATGTGAGGATAAAGCACATAAGCAAGTTACAATGAGATAAACGTCATGTGTCACCGCAGCATACTGGAATCTCTGAGCTTAAAACTACCTTGCATTTATCATGGGCTAGAAACATGGGGCTGAGGAACTGCTGTGCTGCAGATTCAAAAACTGACTTGCCACTTGGAAATGTGTTTATATGTCACATCCCACATAATTTATCAGGAACCCACCCTGCTCAGGAGATTGTGGAATGGTGTGCTTTACTTAACTGTGTACTTGACCCATAGAAAACTGTCGGACTTGAGCATGTTTTAATAAGTAAGAAAGTCCAAAGTCAATCTAACATAGATCTAACATCTGCATATGTTGCCTGTGCTGTGTTACTAGTGAAATGTGTGACCCTGGGAGCAGCTCCAGATTCAGATCTTCTCTTCCAGTAAAACTACCACAAAGGTTCCAAGGGGTGTTTCTTGCTGCAAGTTTCTCCTCCACTCTTTTCACTACTTTTCTTCCTCATTTGGGCCATGCACTGAAAAAAACGTGTATAAGCTTTTACTCTGTTGCTGATACCATCAGAAAGATCTATGGTGGGTAGCAGTGGCCTCGCTTTTCCCTAGGGAACTCCAAACCCATCATGCCAGGTCATTTCTTTGCAGGAGCATAAGCATCCCAGGAGGTAGGTACCTTTATGAACCAGCCCCAGATCTCAAAAGCTGTCTTCATCCTTATTAACCTCACTTGCAGATGCTGCAGCCTCAGATGCCTGGGGAAAAGAGCTATTGAGACAGTACAGAACAGCCCTTTCCTTGGAGCTGCCATCCTCTAGATCTTAGGTAACACTAGGAGACACAGGTAGCCAAGTCTAAAGAGAGAAGAAATTTAAGATTAAAAACCCCGTAGTTATTTGATGGACAACAGCCTGCAGAATTGAACTGCACAATCTCACATGAGTTTTTAAGCTAAATAATGTATATTTTTTCCCCTCTTACTTAGACACAGTCACATCCGGGAGTACTGCACACTGCTGTGTATGCCTGAGAGGCATTGTGGAAGGTGTTTAGCAGGAACATGTTATCATATATATATGATCCTCATTTCACATAGCCCTCTATAAGCACCATTCCTTGGAAGGAAGTCCTTACATAGCCCAATGGTAAAGATGGGGATGAGAAGGGGTAAGTGCTCTATGGAGACTAGGGCATAGTCTTCTTTTGCCTACCTTTGCACATGTGTGTGGAGTTTCAAGATGTCTATTGTCGTTTCCTACATACAGTCTGCCCTTCCTGATCCCAGTTAGTGGATAGGGTGGCACTTCCATGATGCACTGTGATCACAAAGTTGCTTGACTGGGCAAAAAGACTGTGTAGGGAAGGTACTGAACATGAGAGATATGGAACTACAGCTCCTTGTAGCAGCTGTGGCAATGTAGACATGTCCTGACCAGGGACTGCCTGAAAATCTATAGTTCTGTGTTTCAGGATCCAGTGCTTTCTGGGAACTTTTAAGATTAAATTTCATGCATCATTCTTATACTGAATAAAACCAGAAGAGAGCAGAGTTTCTTACAGGAGGGACATGATGGTTTTTAGTCACTTTGGAGAAGGATGGTATTTGTGAGTGGGAGGAACCGTGATTTGAAAATTCCTGTAGGGGTTAAAAAAGAGAATAGTGTGTATACATGAATTTTGTTTCTGAGTAATGCTCATTCAGCTCTGCAACCCACAGCTGTTTGGTTCACGGAGCAAAGCTGAGGCTGTGTGCAACTTGTTTCGCTAACATTTCACACTATCGCTCCAGCCCAGATAATTCCACAGTGCTGAGAGTTCCGCAGTGCTGAGAATTGCAATTTTAGCTGTGTTTCCATTGACTCACTGGCATGTTAACTGCTGTGCCTTATCTGTTCTGGCCAGTGAATCAAACACAACAGTTCAAAAGCCACTGGCTAGAAGAGCTGCAAACTAATCTGCAGCTTGGTGACTTTGCTTGACTTTAGTCACTAGGAGAAAACGCAACAATATTTAAAAATCAGTCCCTCTCTGAAATTACTTGCCCTTTAATTTGACTTTAAAAACATTCACTGCATGCCTTACACATCCAATCTCTGGAAAATCAGGAAGTTTCAATCAAGTAGTAAATATGCGGTGCTAAGACAAACATTTTGTTATCATTTCCTTGCTGTGGAATCTATATTGGCTGGTAATTTTTGTCACTGTTAGTTCTTAGAAATACTACATTTAATCCACACAAACAAATATTTAATTTCTGTCTTGCACAATGATGGTAGATGAAGGTGATTATTCTCAATATGCCCCCTCCCTGGCCTCACTTCAAAGTTAGCTCTGCTTTTTTGGACTGGAGCCCTTAAGAAGGTTGTCCTTTCCAACCTGAATCATTCTGTTTCTCTTCTGCTGCTGATACAAGATACAGCATTACTTACAGCTGCAGGTGTTACTAATGCTTTGGGGCCATCAGGAGAAATGCTATATTCTCTTATCATGCCATGTTACAACCATGAAATGTAGGAGATTGCAGTGCATTTAACTAAAACCACAGATGCAGTAGTACCATTCAAATGAATAGCAGTCACCAGCTTAATGAGCTTTATTTTAGCACCCAAGCTCTGTACTCAAATAGGAGAAAGAGCAGAAAAGCTGCATTTGTTGTTTGGCAAACACAGAGACACTAAACCTGCAATGAGAATAGCAAGGGTTCAGACTTGGTCAGGTGACAGGTACAACTAGACCTGTGTCTACAGAACTGGGTTGCATGAAAGTAGTGTCATCTTGTTTTATCGGAGTAGCTGCGCTGCTGACGTTCCTGCATCTGCCAAGGCCTGATTCATGGGCAACCAGTTTATTACCCCACTCTGAGGACACAAGGGGTATATAAGGGTGTTATCTCACAGCACTGCATCCTTTAGATGCACAAGAATGATTCCATCCCGTATTACTCAGGACTACAGCCAGATGTGAAGCTTTGCATTTTGTGCTGGTGAATCTCCTGAGCCCTGAAGTCCCATGCTAAACAGGTGTGTCAGAAGCAGTGAGAGTAGCAGCAACAATATACATCTGCTTCCAAGCTAAATCAACCATACTGTGGCATTTCGCAGTGAGAAGAAAGTGTTTTTCATGTCAGCTGACTGCATCACTGAGGTTGCACAGTTTGAATGCATTTTCCTTATTTTATTGCACACTGTCTCAGAGTGATGCTGGCAGTTCTGATAAAGCAAGGTGGCTTGGATGAGTCAGGGGGGCTGCATGATCTGTGAGTGTAAACTGAATTCCATCACTGATTACTTTTCTATGCCATCTTTGCAGCATGACTTTTCTTTTTCAATAAGCTTCCTGAATTGTCAGGTTTTTCAAAAGTGTGATGACTTGGAGTGTCTTCAGTGTGTTTTTGAAATGAGGCTACAGAAACCTTGGTAATATGGAGAAGGATGAAGCTGCTAGAAAGCTGTGCTCCACAAAGGACAAAGATACACCTTTGTCAACTTTTTAGCTCAAAGCTGTTATCTTCTTGCAGAGTAATGTATATGGTGAAGGCTGGAGTTCTTTTGTCAGGGCTTTCTATCATTAATGATACTTTTCCTATCACCCTTCACTTGACGTACTTTGATTAATTTCAATCTCCTTATTGAAAAGTAGGAGATTGTAGGTCCAGTGATCTGCCTAATGTCCGCCAGTACCTTAGATCTAGGAATGGATTTTAAACTACAGCAGACTATCAACATCAGATACCAGCCTCGGGAAAGATATCTTTTCACAACCCCTTCTTCCTGCTGCTTCCCTACAGAGGCACTGGTTCAGCTTCTACTGCGTGTAGCACTTTTTTTGAAAAAGAGAAACTACTAGTTAAGAGCCTGTGATACTAGAGGATACTGCAGAGCTGTTTTTTCTTTGGAAGTAGCTATAGAAAATTCTGATAGGATACCACCTGGAATATGCTGTGGAAAAAAAAGCATGAGCCACAGTGCAATTTTTCCAAGGTTATCATAAGCCTTTGGATTACTTCTATAATTGATTTCTGGTGGCACGTGTAGTATTAAATCGTGGGTTAAGTAATAGAAGCAAGCAGGAAATGCAAAACTTAACTCATAAAATCTCTGAGGAAAGGGTAAAGAAGCTGCACTGAAGCATTAGTAAAGAAAGAACTGAAACAAATTTTCCAGGTGTGGGAAATGGGCTAGGTGCCATCATCAATTATTTTGAAAATGTAGTTTTCAAGTAATCAGTGAGCAACTGTTTTATAGATTGATCACCATTCCTAGATTACCCCAAAGACTGGGTTGTGACTGTCACTTCTGTGACAGTCACAAACCTTTGTGACAAACCTTTCTTGGGTAGGGAAAAGTTCAAGAGTGGACAAGAGTT